ATCAGTTCCCTCACTCGCAGCTGGAGACTGCTACTGGCCAGGCACAGGTCAGGTGATGACTGAGGCAGTGAGGCACCTGACTGGGAAGTTTACATTTCCAGAAGGACAGACAGACAATAATCGAGTGAACAAACAAGTCATTTCAGATTCTGAGAAGGGATGTGAATAAAACGAAGCTGGCTGTGGTCAGGAGTGTGAGTTTGGAGGGGAGGGAAGGCTTGTCTGGGGGAGCATGCTGAGCGGGGTGAGGGCTGCACCCTGGGAAGACTCAGGGAAGGCCATCCAGGAAGGAGTCCAGCCACCGCCACCGCAAGGGGCCTGGGGTAGGAAGAGCTTTGAATTGCAGGAATCTCAAGGCAGTGAGGAGTGGGGTGAATGAGGGCGGATCAGGAGGTGCTGAGGGATACTAGTATATGGGTCCTGGTTTGGGGTCTGGATTTTATTCTGGAAGAAATGAGAACCATTGGCGGTCTGAGCACAATCACTACGTGGAAACGGTCACCACAGGCACTGCATGAGAAGTAGACAGACAGGGGTGTGAGGCCCTGAGTGTGGGGCTAACTAACAGGAGGAGAGATGGGCCCGGGGAGAAGGCCAGCCCTGCCTGTGTGCAGAGCAGGCGTTTGGGCACGGGTTCAGTTTAGCATCTTGCAGAGTCGCTTTTTTACACCTCCATTCTGACTTATTCCTTCAAGTGGATCTGAGTGTTGGTGGCAGCTGGAGGAGGAATGTGGCGCCGAGAGGCTCCTGATAAGTTCTATGGGAAGCCAGTTCAGGAAGGAGTGGAGCAGTGCGAAGGCCTTGGGGTAGGAAGTAAACTTCCTGTTTTTAAAGACCAAGCTTTCCCTGCCAGTCTGTCTGCTGTTGGAATGGCCCAGGGGCAAGGGGCAGCCTGCTGATGCAGGTGGTAGGAGTGATCATTGTGGGAGCAGAGCGCTAGACCGGAGACCTTGAGGAGAGAGACTGTAACTCTTCTTTAATTCTCCAGGACAAAGTACTGAGGGAGCATCTGACCCAGACCGAGACCACATTGGCCTCCTGGAGAGACAACTCAGCTCCGTGTTGGGAAGCGAAGGGCCAGCGGCCGCTCGGCAGCAGGGCGAGAGGCAGGATGGTTTCAGGCAGAGACAGCATCCATAACGTGCAAGGCCAGGGCACTGGGAAGGAGCTGGGCATGTTTAGCCATGGGATGAACCGATGGGAGGAGCAGAGGTGGGGGGAGGTCCCAGCAGGGCTCACGGGCCAGGCCAAGGGATTGGGTTGTGTCACTGGCTGACCATCACCCCAGCAGCAGGAGAGGACAACTTGGGGGGCAGCAAACTCTGGTGAGAGAGGTGGCCTTGGGAGGCAGGTGACAGAGGTGACAGTCCAGAGGTGCTGATGACTTGGGCCAGGAGACAAGTGCAGGAACACGAGGGCCATTTGAGGGCTGGTTACCTGGACTCAGAGGCTGCTTTGCCATCGTGGGTAAGGAGGGGAGATGCAGCTAAAGATGCATCCAGGCTCTTGCTGGGTGGACAACCTGTTTGTTGAGAACAAGAACAGGATGAGGAAGGGAGATGCCAGGGCCACGTTGTCAAGATCAAGGCAGACCCCCAGGGGGGCTCAGTGGGAAGAGTGGTGGGTGGGGTGTGTGGTGAGGGAGGAGGGCTCCCCTCCCAGGGCCTTTCCGGGCTATAACTGTGGTAGGAGGCATGTTCTGTTTTCTAGGGAGCGGGACCCAGCTGTGCTTTGGGAGGGTCACTCTGGCTGCTAAGACAGGAGGGAGGAGCCTGGAGGCAGCACCAGGGGAGAGGCAGTGGGCAGCGGGGCTGGACAGGGCTTCTCTCATGGTGGAGGGCACAGATCAAGAGGTGGCAACAAGCGGCAGGAGGAAGAGGAGAGCCCAAAGGGCTCCCAAACGTCCCTGTGGCTTACAAATCTGTGCAGAGCAGAAGCTGCTGAGCAGGCGCATCTGGCCAGAGCTGGGGGACCTGCGCAGTGCCTGGCTGCTGGGGCCCTGGTCACCGTGCCTCCCTCAGCCCATGGGATTCTCGCCTGCTCCCCTGAGGCTTTGGGAACACTGGGCCTGAGTGAGAGGAGAGAGGAACCGTTCTCACTTCCCGAGCTGGTCTCTCCCTCAGTGGTGTGGGTGGGGGTGAGATTAGTACAGTGCGGTAGCAGGAAAGGCTGGGGCCAGCTGTGCAGGCAGGAAGCCGGGCGCTCAGAGCTGCGGCAGAGGGTGGTGAACAGGAAAGAGCAGGGCCCTGGGCTGCCCTGGGGGTGGACAGGGAGCAGGCAGGCTGGGGCTCTGCTCTTTGCCTCCATTTTAATTGGCCCAAAGCCACAAAGAACGAGACCTGTCGGGGCACCCTCCCACCTCTGGGGCAGACACTGGTATCAGGGCCCTGCTGGATTCTCCAACGAGATGCTCTGAGACCCAGAATCTGGGACGGTCACCCCAGGGCTGGTTAGGGTGGGCACGTGCATGGCCCCATCCAGGGCCCTATTAAATGGCTCCAAGAGCAGATGACCAGGTGACCAGAGATTCATATGCCACAGGATGTCAGGCACAGACACACACGGATCAGTGTCTGGGGCAGGACCTTGGACACTGCCCGTAGTGCACAAGACAGGGCCCCTCCCATGGGCAGAGGGCAGAGGGCAGAGGGCATGGCCCTCGCTGAGTGAGGGCTCTGAGCCTGGGGACCGGGGCTGGAACACTCCTGCCGACTGTGAGGAAGTAGAGGGCACAGTGAGCCAAGGCACACTGGGGACCAAGTTCTGGGCCCCAACACTCAGGGTAGAGAAGAGCGTTCTCTGAACCCTGCTGAGGTCGGGGTGCTTCTGGAAGCCCCGGCCTGCCTTAGGTGAGTCTAGGAGCACCAGAGCACAGACGGGGGTGCTCTCCGCCCTCCAGGAGCATTCGAGGTAGCAGGCCAGGTGGTCCCCAGGCATCCAGAGCAATCTAGGCTCCCCTTCTGCTGCTCAGCGTCCTGGGGAGCAAGGGGAACTGATGCCTAGAGAGTCCAAAACAGAGGGCCATGGCTTGAGGACACGCTTCTAACTCAGGGTTGGGTTCCCCCTCTCCCTTGATCTGGGACACAGGACACAATGTCCGCCTCCAGGGCGCTGGCACACACGGAGGAAAGCGCTCCAGGGTGCTCCCTGTTCACCAGGACACCCCTCCCGGCCCCGGCACAGCCTCGCCCCCGTGCTTTCAGGGAGCACCTTTGGGTGATGTCCAGGTCTCTTTCCTCTGTCCCGTCATCTCCCCACTCGACTGGGTTTCTGCAAAGGCAGGGACTGGGTCCAGGTGTTCATCCCTCTGCCAGCACCGCCCACACCAAGTATGTGTGTGAAATAAGTCTCCATTCAGGTTTGTGGTTTACAAAGGACTTCTGTTATTTCAAACCGCATCACAAGCCAGGGCCATGTTTATTCCGCCCTCTCACATGTACAGGAGGAAGCTGACTCCAGGAAGTTTGTAATTTGCGGAGGTTGCAAACCTTGCAGGTGGCAAGGCTGGATTTTGAACCACAGCTGCCTGAGCCAATCTCAGCCCCGTTCACTCTTTCCAGCTGAGAGCAGGCATGTGACAGAACAGACAATCAGGTGGTGTCCTTGTGTGCGTTCGTGAGGTTTGGGGAATACAGATTAAAATCACAAAAACAACCCCAGCTCCACTGTCATGGAAAAGCAAGGCGGGTGCACTCATTTCAGGCAGATGAGGTTGCAAAGGCTGGAGGTAGCCGGGGGTGCCTCTGCGCTTGGTTACTCACCCTCTCGCCCACCGTTGGGTTCCTGGACGTTAGTCCCCTCCCATCATTCTTCACTCATTTTTCCTTGAGTGGGGCTTCTTCTCTGTGGGAGCTTCTCTCCAATCCAGGAGGCATCAACTGGAACTGGGGCCAGGTGAACAGGGTCGCACTGGTTTGCTGGCATCCTGGCACTTTCCCAGCCTGGAGCCTCAGTTTCCCCATAAGAAAATGTGAAGGAGGGAGAGACGACACGCAGCTGGTTGCTAGACTGTGAAGAGTCAACAGACACATTCAGGCTGGGACAGGAATTGCACGGAGCAGCACCAGCAGAGCTAGCTCCCATCGCCTCCAGAACTGCTTTTCGGTGTCAGAGTTCACTGGGTGCCACACAGGAAATCCACACAAAGGCCTGGCCCAGGGAGGCCTGACCACCTCCCCCAGGAATGGTCACTCAAACCCACACGGTCAGGGCCACGCTGAGCGCTCTGTGCACCGGCTTCCTCTTGCACAGTGCATCCCAGAGTAGACCTCAGGCAGGGAGGCAAGAGGCTGCTGACACCGAAGGAGAACAGACTCTCCATGGAAAGGTCACAGCCTGAGCCAGAGGGCAGTGTCCAGCTCCAGCTCCAGCGTAACCGGGTCCTGTGCCAGGAAAGGACTGGGAGGAGGATCTAGGACAGGGGTGGGCAACCCCTGGTATGCGTGCCAGACATGGCACGCCAGTAACTTTTGCTGGCATGTGAAACCCTCTCTTATAATCTTCCATTTACAATTTTTTTCTTAATATCGACTTTTTATTTTTCAGATAAATTCAGTGTAAGTGTATCTTAGATAAATAAATAATTTTACATAACAAGTTATCTTAAAGACCATAGACATGGATTGATGAGAGAGGGGAAGAGCAATTTCTATGCCCCTGCCTTCTAGATCCGACCAGTGTTTTGTTTTCATCCACATACGCTTGTGAATCCTTGTTCTCAGTGATGAATTTTGTTAAGTCTCGTAGTAGGAGTAGCTTGACAGATGAAAGTAGTAGCTCGTGCATATCTCTGAGGTCACGAAATATAAACCTGATGTAAAATCTCTGTCATCAGTGATGCAGCAGCAAAAGTCCCACTGATAATATCAAACGGAGTCATAACGTTTTCTGTCGGACTATCGGTGTACATGTATACATTAAAAAATAAATGTATTGAGTGTGGGTCCCCTGTATCCGGCCTGGAGAGGGCGGGCGAGCGGGTGGCCGCGGCGCGGTGCTCCTGGGGCTGCCGAGAGAGCCGCCGGCGTGGGCCACCCTCCCGGGGCCAGGGCCCACCCGCGGCCGTGGTGCGCCGCTCCCCGCCTTCGGCTCCGCCCCGCGTGGTCGGCGCCTGGGGTGAAGCTGAGACCCAGGGAGGCTCCACTGAGCACCTGGGCCGCCACCCGCAGACCATGTTCCTGGCGCGTCTGACGTCTCAGCTGCTGCGGGTCGCGCCCCAGGCAGGCCTCCGTGGGCCCTGGCCCGTCTCAGGGGTGCGGGGAAGCAATGCCTGCAGGCCCCGCTACAGCATGCAACCAGCAGGCCCGAGTAGGGTTGCCGTCCTCCCGGGCAAGGGGGTCCAGCTGGAGCTCGAGGAGATGCTGGTCCCCAGGAAGATGTCCATCAGTCCCCTGGAGAGCTGGCTGACCGCCCACTACCTCCTGCCCAGACTGGATGCTGGGGTCCCAGGGACTGTGGCGCCGGCCCAGGCCTACGAGTGTCCGCCTGGCCAGGTGGGGGGAGGAGCCGAGCAGGGGCGTGAGGAGGTGCAGGATGCACCCCAGATTCGGTGCAAAAACGTGCTGAAGATCCGCCGGCGGAAGATGAACCATCATAAGTACCGCAAGCTGGTCAAGAGGACCCGATTTCTGAGGCGGAGGGTCCGGGAAGGACGCCTGAAACGGAAGCAGGTGAGGTTCGAGAAGGACCTGAAGCGCATCTGGCTGAAGGCGTGCCTGAAGGAAGCCCCTCCCGGCTGGCAGACCCCCAAGATCTACCTCAGGGGCAAGTGAGTGCGGGCGCCCCTGCCCCGGCGCTGCTGCTGTTCTCTTGTAATAAACGTTGACGAGCTCCGCTGAAAAAAAAATGTATTTTTCATCATCATATACTGTGTTTTTTTTGCTCAAATGAATTTTATTATTTCTTCAAGGTTCTTCACATATGTACACCTTAAGAGATAACAAGTAGGCGTAACATGTTCTCAAAAAATTTGGGTTGGCACGCAGAAGAATTTTGAGTTAGAGATTTTGCTGGTTTTGGCACGCACTCACAAAAAGGTTGCCCACCCCTGATCTAGGACCTCATCAGAGAGGATGGGCCCCAGCCCTGTGTCCTTCTGTGTTTCCTCCCGCAACTGTCCCACCTCCCAGGGCAACTTCCCTGTGACTCCACACATGCCGTCCTGCCAAAGGCCCATGAGGGCACCCAGGGCCTAACCTCTACCTCCTCTTCCCCTGGCTCCACCTTGCAGGGAGCAGGGATACGTACTCCAGGACCTGGAGTTTGGGCGGAGAGTAACATTGACCCTTCAGCCTCATTCCCCAGAGATGGGGACCACCAGGGCAGGGTAAGAAGCCATTTCCATGGGCGTCATCATTCCTGGGAATCCCCCCACTGAGGGGCTCCTAGGACTGGGATTTCTCAGGGGACCCTGAGCTCCCCAACTGCCCTGCACATAACAGCCCCAGCCACACATCAGACTGCAGCCAGCTCCACACCTGGCACTGGAGGCCCCTGAGCAAGGCAGACCCAGGGATCCACTCTCGGTTCTCAACCAGACCCGACTTCCTCAGAGCCTGGCCAGGCCTCTCCCTGCGGGCAAGGTAAGGCTCTGCGGGTCAGAACCACACAGGGGCCTGTAGAACCCTCGGGTCCCTGATGCCCAGGCCACAGCAGGTGCCTGCTTGCCCTCAACAGGCCATCACGATGCATGTCCATGGGGCCAGATATCCAACTGGCTGCACAGCATTTACCAGGTAAAGGCGGTAACTCCTTGCTGAAGCTGAGCTGATCTGGGACACCCCGATGGCCTTCTCCCACAGGCAGAGCCAATGTTAGCACAGCCTCCCCAGGCCCCTCCCTGCCTGAGGATTCATGCTACCCCTGCCTGATCTCCCACTCTCCTCCTCTAGACGTCTGTTCTCACAAACCCAGTTCAGTGCTGCTGGCCTCCTGTGACCCACTTCCAAACTTTGGTCCCAACCCAAGATGTGAGTGATCAGGTTTCAAAGAGAGGAATGGGCCAGTGGCCTCCATGGGGCTCCACAGCCCATGGCCCCAGACAGCCCACCTGAGGTCTGGTGGTCTGCTTTGGCCCATTTCCTAATGGGTGGTGGGAGGAAGGGGGAGTGAGCGGAGAGGAACCTAGCATTTGCCAGGATCAAGACCAGAGGCCAGAGGCACCTTGGGAGAGGACCACAGGTATCAGGGCCGGAGTCCAATGACCCTGGGCTCAGATCTTGAAAGCCAGCGAGATGGTGTGCCTCTTTGGCCCTGAAGGCAGCCATCCCGGTGTGCCCCAAAGCCTGTGGCATCCCTGTCTGACACACGGTGCCCCTTCTCTGTCAGCTCAGGCAGCTTGTGTCCACCACTCCTTTCTGCAGCCCATTGAGACCTTAATCCCGCCCTTCTCAGAGCATCATGGAAGGCCGGAGAGAGACACCTATCCCAACAGAACACGTGGACCTTCTAGCCGTGGCATCTGCGTGAGCAGGAAAACGGCAGCCATGAACGATCCCTGGGATCCTCTTGTCTCTTCTCAAGAAAGATGTAAATGAAATGAGGTACTCTCCCACATCCTGGGCATCAAACACCCCTATTCTGCTTCACCCACTCAGTACCAGGACAGGATAGAGTGCCTTGTGGGCTCCAGGCGTGGCCCTAACTATATAGAGGATCACACTTATGACCAGACCAGCCTCACCCACAAGACACCTCAGAGATAGGAGTACCCCCTCACCCCCCCAGAGTTGCTCTGACTCTTCAGACCTCCCACTCCCCCTCCTCCGGTCCAGTGATGATGGGCAAGGCCAAGTGGAAGCGGGGCTGCCAGAGGAAGTCCACATGATCGGTAAGACACACAAAGCAGACACCTTAGAGGATAGATGGCATAGGGCACAAGCAGGGGCTGCGTGGAAATGAATTCCGGAGGCTTGACTTCCTGTGTGCCAGACCCTTTGCTGGGTCTCACCATGGGTGTCATCACATGCTCCCCTGAGTGAGCCGCAGGGTGGGAATCACCTCACCCAGCTCCCAGAAGAGCTTGAATGGCATCTGGTGAGAAGCTGAGCCATGGCTCCATCACGGAACCACCACCAGAGCCCTGCTCTGTCCCTCCCACTGGCACCCTGTAAGGGGCTCTTAATGACCTCATTGGGTTGTCCCCAATATCACTCCTCTGTCTGTCTGTGAGAGCTGTAGTCTGTGGAGCCTCAGGCACCCACATAAGCCATGGGCATCTCTAGCAGCTTCTCTCAGGGTGTCATTCGTGAGCCCAGTAAAAGGCAAGCTTGGATCTAAACTCTGGTTCTGTTGTGTCCGTTTTATCAAGTTACAGTGTCTAATTGAAGAAGAAATCACAGTCTTTGGCCTGTGGGCTATTGTTGTACAAAAGCCATATTTGTTGCTGGGCTGTTGGCCAAAGTAATAATCATTTCTTAAATTCACCCTGAAGGAGGGGCAGCCCCGGGCCACCAAGGCAGTGGTGGGTGTGCGGAGGAATTCCCACTCGGATCCATCAGCACCAGAGCCTGGCAGAGACTCCATTCCAGACGTGGACCCCCAGGGCTGCCCAGAGCGGACGCCCAGCCTTGTTTTCTTTGTAAGCAGTGAGGTCTCAAAAAAGAGTCCTGGGTAAACATTAGGGTCAGATGTCTTAGAGGGCCTATTGTCAAGCCCTGAAAACTGGTGGCAGCACCAGCACACAACCCCCTGGTTAGCCTACAGACTGCACTGCAGTTCATCATGCCTTCTCTTTTCAGAGAAGAGAATTTTGAGGATGAAATGAGCTCCCAGAGACTCTTCCTTTCAATTATCTGCAGTTCACATGTTGAGGTGTGTCTTGTCCTGGTCATTATGATGCATGTGCTGGCTGGTCAAGGGTAGGGGGTGGACTAGAATATTTTAAAGGTTTAGAGAGTCTACCTCCACCAAAGCTCATGGACAGGAGGCAGAAAACTAAGACTGAAATAACAATCCAGTAGCCGGGAGGTGAGGAGCTAAGTGCAGGAAGCAAGAAGTTGTCATCGGGCCCTGGCTGGTGTGGCCCAGTGGGTTGGGCATTGTCCGGGGCACCAAAGGGTTGCTAGTTCAATTCCTGGTCAGAGCAAGTGCCTGGTTCTATCCCTGGTGGGGGCCATGTAGGAGGCAACTATTTGGTGTTGTGCTCTCTCATCCATGTTTTTCTCTCTCTCTCCCTTTCCCTTCCTCTCTCTAAAAATCAATTTAAAAGAATAAGTTGTTGTGCAGCATTAAGGCAGCCAGGGGTGAGGGAGGGGCTGTCATGGAGCCTGAGAGAGGAGGACACCTTGGGCTCCAGCTGTACCTTGGGGAGGGGGAGGGAGTACTGTGTGGAGCAGCATTGGTCTGTTCATGTCTGATACCTACAGAGAAGGGGATGAGGGAGGCCCTACTTCCTGGTCTCTCCACAAACAAGAGGCAAGTCCTGCCTCCCACCAGCCCACAAAGGCACCCGCTGTGCTGCTTTCCTGTCTGCATTCATGCTGCCCTTCAGCTCAGAATGCCCAGCGCCACCCTCATGTTAGGCAAAGCCCAGGCATCTCACCCTCATCCTCAGGCAGCCTTCAAACTAACTCCAGGCCCTTCCCATGTACTCTGAGCCATAAGCTGCCCCTTAGGGAGTCCTTAGCACCTTTGACTTACACTTACCACTGTATTATGGGTAGTCTGTCGACTAAGCTTCTATCCATTCTGTTGGGAGCGTCTGATGGGCAGGCATAACTCCTAGTAATTTATATATGCCTGTTGCTGGGTCCATATGAGGTAGACTCTCCGTCATGCTTGTGGGATGGATGAATGGATGAATTGGTGAACAGATAAATGGATGAACAAATGAATGAGCAATGAGCAATGGCTGGAGAGCTCGCCCCAGCAGCTCGGAGGGAAAGAGACTGTGGCCTTTGACTTATATGCTTTTATGAGCACCCCTGTCATATCCAGAAAGTCTGATTGTGAACCTCTGAATAAAAAAGAAAATAAAGATGCGCAAGCCCCTGTGTAAATTCGTAACTGGCTTAATAAAAGACTCAGAGTGAAAACCAGCCTGGTGTCTCCCACGGACAGTGTGGAGAAATCCAGTGGGAATGCCACAGTAAACACGAGTGCGCCCTAGCATTTGGTTTACAAACTGGCCGTGTCCCGAGGAAGGGCCTCTTCTTGTCCGCTCCCCACAGACTGTGTGGGTGGCTCACGCAAATCCTCCTGCAGTCACCCTCACTGTGGCTTATGGATGTGACGATACAAGAAGGACTGAGGATTGTTCGTCAGGGACGGAAAACACCCCTTTCTCTAAACCAGCGGTTCTCAACCTGGGGGTCGAGACCCCTTTGGCGGTCGAACGACCCTTTCACAGGGGTCGCCTAAGACCATCCTGCATATCAGATATTTACATTATGATTCATAACAGTAGCAACATTACAGTTATGAAGTAGCAACAGAAATAATTTTATGGTTGGGTCACAACATGAGGAACTATATTTAAAGGGCCAGAAGGTTGAGAACCACTGCTCTAAACCTTATAATGACTTAGATTTTGAAACTCAGACTAGGACTAAGAAACTTGCTAATGTGAAACTTCAATGTCTGTTTGCAAACACTGAACCAGGGTTTGCTGTGCGTGTGAATGACGCAGTTGGAATTGACTGAAGCATTGGATGGAGCCGGGGTTCTCCTGCCTGTGAAGCGCCCTCCCCACAGCCGTTCAGGATCGCAGAGGCCACGAAGGCCCCACAAGGCTGGACTCTTAGGAAGCTAAGTGTGATTTACTCTTCACCTACCAGGAAGCATATGTAAACCAAGGTGGATTTTAGACTGTAATAAAGACTTAAAAGCATTTATTTGCCCAAAAGG